GGATACCACATGTTCTCACTCATAGGTGGGCTCTGAACATTAATCACATTAGCAGGGATCGGCAGTCACTAGGCACTGCTAAGGGAGGGAAGGAAGAGGGCGATGAACACGTAACAACACAAAGGTACCCGGTACTATACTAGGGGGTGAGGGTCAGTTAGAAGCCCAAACTTCACCTGCATGCAGCCTACTTATATAGTTAATCCTCACTTGTACCCCATATCTCTATAATAAAATAAAATTTAATAAAAAATAAAGAAATTTAGGTTTTATTATATTCATTATGAAGCCACTGAAGGAGAATTTAGCAATGGTAATGACATGATTCAATTTACAATGGATTGATGGGCACAAGAGTGAGTAAGGGGAAAGCAGAAGAGAGACTTGCACTAAGATCCAGGTGAGAGAGGGTGGTAGTTAGACCTTGGGTTCTAACTAACTAAGGGACAGAGAGAAGTGGAGAGATTCAAGAAATATTTTGAAGGTAAGAACAACAAGACTTGGTGACAACTTGACCAGGGTGAGAATGGTAAGATCTGTGAACATGCCTGATACATTTTGGACTGGAGCAATAGCCAAAAAATTCACATGTGGGGTGAGCTTTGAAGACTCTTAGATTTTAGCAGATGTAAAAGAAAGACAGGGAGACTCAGAGTTGTGAAAGCCTGTCGCATATTTAGAATATGCCACAAATCACGTTTTGATGCACTAGTTGTATAGGGTATGCAACAAAATGCAGGAAGATAGTGGCAAAGCACAGATTATGAAAGTCTAGAACTTTTGATGAAGATATTTTTCTTATTTGTTTGATCATCATTTTAGATATATTTTTATATTAGACTGTCAGGAATGCAGTATGAAAATTTAAGAAAGAGGGATTAGGGACAAAGATGTGGAAATTATCTAGAGATGATAACCAAAACCACGATCTAGAAGAGATAGCCATGAAGAGTACAAAGTAATAAGAAATCAATGATTAACCTTTGGGGAGCCTCTGCATTTAAAGAATGGGCAGAAGGAGAAATGAGAAAAAAGCTAGAAAGTCACAAAATGCTCATGAACAGTATAAAAATAAAAATGAAAACATAGTAATTACAACTAATAATTATAGAGCATTTGCTGTGTGCCAAGCACTGTTCTAAGGACTCTCTATATTATTTTTGTCTACTTTGTGTTGCTATAAAGGAGTACCTGAGGCTGGGCAATTTACAAAGAAAAGCGGTTTATTTAGCTCACAGTTCTACAGGCTGTATAAGAAACAGTACCAGCATCTGCTGGCTTCTGGTGAGGGAGTTTTTTGCTGTGTCAAAACATGATGGAAAAAGTCAAGGGGAAAGCAGGCACACGTGAACAGGGATAAAACCCAAGGAGTGTCCTAGCAATATAACAACCCACTCTCTCAGGAACTAATTCTACCCCCCTAGAACTAATCCAGTCTCAAGAGTGAGAACTCTCATTCATTCCTATAAGAATGGCACCAAGTCATTCATGAGGGATCCAGCCCCATGGCCCAAACATCTCTCACTAGGTCCCACCTCCCAACACTGCAATAATGGAGATCAAATTTCAACATGAGATTTAGTGGGGATAAACAAACCATATTCAAATCACAGTCATGTGGATTCTAAAACAGACAGTCCTTCAGGACAGATCCTGAGTGGCTAACTGGTCCTATGTTCAAAATAGAGCCAAGGAGCCATTGCTGACAAGAAGTACTCTGCATTCCCTGAAAAAGCATACACTTGAGTAACTTTGGAATTTTCATAGTTGCCTGTTCATGTTTATGCTGCTTGAGTCAATGGCTGCCAGAAAGTCTCATTTAACCATCTGGACCTAACCAACAGACTGTGACCTGCAGTCAATCTGAGCATGGTGGATTACCTTTAAAAGTATAAACTGGCCAGGCGCTGTGGCCCATGCTTATAATCCTAGCACTTTGGGAAGCTGAGGTGAGAGGATTGCCTGAGCTCACGGGTTCGAGCCCGGCCTGGGCAACTTGGTGAGACCTCATCTCTACAATAAATCAAAAAATTAGCCAAGTGTGGTGGCACGTGCCTGTAGTTCCAGCTACTTGGAAGGCTGGGGAGGAAGGATCATCTGAGCTCAGCAGGTTGAGGCTGCGGTGGCCATGAACAGCATGCCACTGCACTCCAGCCTGGGCTACAGAGTGAGACTCTTAACTAAAAAAAAAAAAAAAAGTATAAACTAGCCGGGTGCAGTGACTCTTACCTGGAGGCTGAGGCAAGAGAACTGCCTGAGCCCAGGTGTTCAAGACCAGCCTGGGCAACTTGGTAAGATCTCATCTCTACAATAAATTTGTTAAAAGTTAGCCAGGCATGGTGGCATGCACCTATGGTTCCAGCTACTTGAAAGGTTTAAGCGGAAGGATCACCTGAACCAGCAGGTTGAGGCTGTGGTGGCAGTAAACGTGCCTTTGTACTCCAGCCTGGGTGACAGAGTGAGACTCTGACTCAAAAAAAAAAAAGTTAGCTAGGCTCGGTGGCTCAGCCAGTAATCCCGCACCTTTGGGAGGCTGAGGTGAGTGGATTGCCTGAGCCCGCGGGCTCAAGACCCGCCTGGGCAGCGAGACCTCATCTCTACAATAAATCAAAAAATCAGCCGGGCGTGGTCGCGCATGCCTGTAATTCCAGCTACTTGGAAGGCTGAGGCGGAAGGATCGCCGGAGCCCAGCAGGTCGAGGCTGCGGTGGCTGGGAGCGGCCACTGCACTCCAGTCTGGGTGACCGAGTGAGATTCCAACTAAAAAAAAAAAAAGTTAACATTAAAGTTTTCTATTGTAATTGCTTACTCGCTGGCTAAAGGTTAATAAAAGTAGATGTAAATTATAATATTATAATAACTTTAAAATAAAATTGGTTCTCAACTGGAGGTGATTTTGCCACCCCTCCATCACAGGGAAAATTTGGCAATGACATTGTTGGGTTGTCACAACTGAGGTATGGTGGCTGCTTCCGCTTCTAGTAGGTAGAGGCCAGAGATACTACTAAACATTTCATAATGCATAGTACAGACTTAAAACAAATAATAATCTGGCCTGAAATATAAACAATGCTGAGTGTGAGAAACTCAGCTATAAAAATAACAGCCACTCTAGCATACTAGGTTAAACCCGAAAAATTCAGAAAAACGCAACTATTGTATAATCCAGTATACATTTGAATACAAATATGAAAAAGACTATTCTATTCCAAAATTTAAGGATAAAATCAACTTAATTTTGGTCTTCATTAAGAAAATGAATAAATGTCATATCATGTTTTGCCATCATTAACTTCTTGTTATTGCACTAATTATAAAACTGATGGTCTTCTCTCCTAAAATCTTTACATTCAATACTTTGACTTCACTCTTCACACTTGGGAAAACTTTTATGAAACATACCAATAGGGAAATTAAATATATACATCAATTAATTAAAAGTGAGAATTTATAAATGGTGGCATTTTTCTTTTTTTTTTGAGTGGAGTCTCACTCTGTTGCCAAGGCTTGAGTGCAGTGGCATACTCATGGCCACCACAGCCTCAACCTGCTGGGCTCAGGTGATCCTTCCACCTCAGCCTTCCAAGTAGTTGGAACCACAGGCATGTGCCACCATGCCCAGCTAATTTTTTTTTAATTGTAGAGACAAGTTCTTGCCAAGTTGCCCAGGCTGGTCTCGAATCCATGGGCTCATGCAATCCTCTCATCTCTACCTCCGAAAAGTGCTGGGATTATAGGCATGAGCCACTGTGCCCAGCTAACAGTGGTATTTCATTTAATAATTGCTAAAATGCAATGAATGAACTAGGAACATGGACTGATATTTCTTTCTATAAAAATTTCCTATTAACATTTGTGAAGGAAAAAGCACTCTCTAACAGACTTTGTGTGTTTGATTTTAACCCAAAGCAAATTTTTATCACTGAGTGATAAACCCACAAAACTGGAGTTCATATTGGAAGCCCTTATGCTACTAACTATGGTACTGGTGGGCATCACCATTTTTAAAAGTGTAAAAAAAAAAATCAATGAGCAGACTGTCATTACAGAAACCTATTCTGCAACACACATGTAACCCAAGAGATTGATACTTTCTGCTTATAAAACTTAACATAAAATTAAATTGCAAATATTTTCTCACAATCTACTAAAATTATGGCCTAAAGCAATAAACTGCTAAAACGAAATATTTGTTGAGCTTTAGTAGACATATTTCCTATATGATTTATGAGAAAGAAGGCTTCATTTGCTTCTTCAAAGATCCAATAATGAAGTTTTTCTTTTCTTATATTAAGCCTAGAAAGTGCAGGAACTTCTTTAAAATAAAGCCAGCAAATAGAACAATGAATTATCAATAAATAATAGCCAAATTTTAAAAACCTGAAGCCTCTTCTCCTTGTGTCTATGATCATGTCATTTCAAACATCAGCCATTCTTAAATTATCCATATGCATAAAAACCATCCATTTATGCCATAAAGAAAATACGCATTAATTTTTTAGGAATAAACCAGAATAATACATTTCAAACAAAATAGTAGACTGTAATTCTTCCCCCCAGAATGTAGAAAGATTAAAAATAATTTCCGCCAAAATTAAGAACAATGGAAATAACAGTTGTTTTATCCTTTGGGACACAAACAATACCGAGTCCCTGACATAAGATAAATTTAATTTCACTATTATCAACCCAATGCATTGTGAACTTATGTATAGCACTTTCTAGACAGTGAAGTGTTAAATTATTAGGATGTTTCAGAATATACATAAAAGGAAATAATATATTCATCTGAAGATTTAAAAAATTAATCTATGAACTTTGTTTTATGTTGAAATCTATTTAACTTGAGAGGCGGAAGGATCGCTGGAGCCCAGCAGGTCGAGGCTGTGGTGGCCGGGAGTGGCCACTGCCCTCTAGTCTGGGTGACAGAGCGATACTCCAACTCAAAAAAAAAAAGAAAAATTATCAGATTTTATACTAAGTATAATAGACAACTCTTACCTTAGGCATTCTGCATCATTTTGAGGTTTTTCACTAATTTTTATTTTTTCTGCCTCTAGGTATTTGGTAGTACAAATGGATTCATTCTCTTCATCTTCAAAAACTAAACAATTTTAAAAAAACTCTTACAATTAAAAAAAACTAAACACAAAGGTTATCTTTTTTTACTCATAATAAAACTCTAATTTTGGGTACCTGCATATAAAATATATATACTTACGATTTTTATTTTCTATTTTAATATATCAATTAAAGGTACAAAAAAGATCTTAATAAAAATTCATGATATTAAAAATACCAGCTCTAACACTCATCAGTGTTTATCTATCTTTGTTTATATCAATAATAGCACTATATTCTAATAGGTTAATACATTTTGAAAGAATAATATGACCCTATCATGTGTACTTAACTATATTCAATAGAAAAATTAACTCATGAAGGTAATACCTTTAAGTTTTATCTGGAGACTAAATAATTCTTGTATCAATTCACTCTTTTGTTTCTGAAGCTCATTTAACTGGCCACTAACACATTCCATTGACTTCATTTCTAGAACAAATACAAAAGCATCAAAAGTAAAATATTTAGAAATAAATTTAACCAAAGAAATAAAAGATTTGTACACTGAAAACTATAAAACACTGATGAAACAAACTCAAGACAATATAAATAAGTGGAAAGAAATCCATGTTTATGGATTGAAAGAACTAATGTTGCTAAAATGTCCATACAACCCACAACAATATACAGATTCAATGCAATCTCAAAATTCCAGTGGTATTTACCACAAAAATAGAAAAAAATCTAGAAACAAATAGACAAAAAAACATATCTTAAGTATTTAGGCTTTGCCTTAAACACACAAATATTTAAGACAATATAAGCAATTATTAGCTTTTTCTCATGTGGTAAAAATATAAGCAGTATATGGCTAATTTTAGCCCAAAGTGGCTTCCTTGGCCACTCAGAAACTCTTTTAAATAAACTTATGATTAATAAGCACTTATTAATCACCAACTGGAAACAAAAAAAGTTAGTTGATTAGGGCACCAAAAGAAAATCAAAATATGTAATATCACTAAGTAAAACAAACTTCCCAATGAGTAGTAATAAGAAAACTCTATGTGGTCAGTCAGTTTTCCCAGCACCATTTACTGAATAGGTCCTTGGCCACTCAGAAACTCTTTTAAATAAACTTATGATTAATAAGCACTTATTAATCACCAACTGGAAACAAAAAAAGTTAGTTGATGATTAGGGCACCAAAAGAAAATCAAAATATGCAATATCACTAAGTAAAACAAACTTCCCAATGAGTAGTAATAAGAAAACTCTATGTGGTCAGTCAGTTTTCCCAGCACCATTTACTGAATAGGTTCTCCTCTCCCCAGTGGTAGGTGGTGGAGGCTTTGCAGAAGATTGAAACAGGACCCCTATCTATCCCCATACACAAAAATTAACTCTAAATGGATCAGAGACCTAAATGTAAAACCTCAAACCATAAGAACCTTAGAAAATGAAGGACATACCCTCATGGAAATTTGAACTGGCATCAGTTTCTGAACAAAACCTGAAATCCACAGGCCATAAGAAATAAAATAGACAAGTGGGACCTCATTAAACTGACAAGCTTCTGCAAAGCCAAAAAAACCATCAAGAGAGCAGGGTGACAGCCTATAGACTGGGAAAAAGTATTTGCCAACTCCAGGTCTGACAAAGGCTTAACATCTTGGATCTACAAGGAACTCAAATATGCTGAAAAGAAAAAAACAAACAACCCCATTATAAAATGGGCAAAAGATATGAACAGACACTTCTCAAAGGAAGACATCCAAGCAGCCAACAGACACATGAAAAAATGTTCAACCTCACTAATCATCAGGGAGATGCAAATCAAAACCACACTGAGATACCACCTAACTCCAGTCAGAATGGTAATTATCAATAACTCAGAAAGTAATAGATGTGGAAAAGGATGTGGCAAAAAGGGAACACTCCTACACCGTTGGTGGGATTATAAACTAGTGCAACCTGTGTGGAAAGCAGTGTGGCGATGCCTAAAAGTTCTAAATATCAACCTCCCATATGACCCTGCAATCCCCCTGCTGGGAATATACCCTGAAGAACTCAAATCACTCTATATAAAAGATACCTGCACACGTAAGTTTATCGCAGCATTGTTAACAATAGCAAGAACCTGGAAGCAACCAAGCTATCCATCAAAAGAGGACTGGATTAAAAAAATGTGATACATATACACAATGGAATACTATGCAGCCATAAAAAAGAACAAAATCATGAATTTTGCAGCAACCTGGATGGAACTAGAGTCTATAATACTGAGTGATCTCTCACAGAAACAAAGAGTATCACATGTTCTCACTCATATAGTGGAGCTTGAACATACAACATAATACTATAAGAAAATGACTGACAGTGGTGGGAAACTATGGGGGGGGAGGGGAACTGAGATGGGATTAACGGTAGTAAATATCTGTCTGGGGATGGGGAGACACCTCTTATCAACAAGGGTGCCTGAACGAAGCCTATTTGTATACTTAACCCTTAACTGTACCCCACAATATCATAATAAAAAGTATTGATTTAAAAAAAAGAAAGAAAACTCTATACTTTATAACTACACATATGAAATGACATTGCACAGGACTCCCCCTATGGCTACAAGGTTTCACAATATTGGCAATAATTGTTTCTTCTACCTAAAATGCCCTTTCTTCTTTTCTTCCCACAACAAATTATAATTCATCCTTTAAGACTCATCTCCTACATTTTCAATTTTTTTTTCTCTTTGGCCATAACTTGTGGAACTCCAAATATGGATTTATTAGACTACTTAATGTTGCTTCACAGATCTCTGAGAAGCTTTTTGCTCTTTGAAGTCTTTTATTTTCCTCTGTGTTTGTTTTTAAGGTTATCCCTTCAAGATCACTGATTTTTTTTCTTCTTCTGCAGCCTCTGATCTGCCATTAATCCCTTCCAGGGAATTTTTCATATCAGATATTGTATTTTCTAACCTCTGGCGCTCTTTTGGTTATTTTTGCAAACAATTTTTATTAAGGTATAATTCACCCTTTCAAAGTATACAATTCAGTGGGTTTTAGTATTTTTCACAGACTTGTGCTTCTATTACAACTATATAATTTTGGAACATTTCATCTCTCCATTCCCCCCCCAGAGGAAACTCCATACCCGTCACTTTCTCCCCCAGCTCTGTCAGCCCTAGGCAACCTATCTAATCTTTCTGACTATATGGATTTGCCTATTTTGGACATTTCATAAAAATGGAATCATACAATGTGTGATCTTTTGTGTCTGACTTCTTTCATTTAATACAATGATTTGAAGGACTATCCATGTTGTAGCAATATCAGTGTTTTGTTCTTTATATACCTGTAAAAAACTATATTGTATAGATATACCCCATTTTCTTTTTGCATTCATCAGTGGATAGACACTTGGGCTTTTTCTACTTTTTGGCTACTAAGAATGAAGCTGCTATGAACATTCATGTACAGGCACACATCATTTAACAATAGGTATACATTCTGAAAAATATGTCCTGAGGTGATTTCATTTTTGGGCAAACATCATAAAGTATACTTACACAAACCTAGATGGTATAGTCTATAATACAGTCTATTTCTCCTAGGCTACAAACTTGTACAGCATGTTACCATACTGGCTGCTGTAGGCAACTGGAACACAGTGGTATTTGTTTATCTAAACATATCAAAACATAGATAGGTACAGTAAAAATACAGAGTAAAAGATTTAAAATGATATACCTGTATAGGGCACTTACACTGAATAGAGCTTATAGAACTGGAAGTTGCTCTGGGTGAGTCAATGAGTAAGTGACTTGTGAAAGTGAAGGCCTAGAATATTACTGTACACTACTGTAGACTTTACAAATACTGTACACTTAGGCAATACTACATTTTAAAATATTTCTTCATTAATATGTTATTTTATCTTACTGTGCCTTTTTTACTTTATATACTTAATTTTGTTCAATTTTTAATTTTATTGTAATAACAGCTTAAAGCACACTATATAGTTGTACAAAAAATGTTCTCTTTGTATCCTTATTCTATATACTTTTTCTAGTTTTTTAATTATTTACTTTTAAAAGACATTTTTAAAATTAAGACACAAACACACACATTAGCCTAGGCCTACACAGGGTCAGAATAATCAGTATCACTATATTCTATCTCCACATCTTTTCCCACTGGAGATCTTCAAAACAATAATGTTCACAGAGCTGTTATAATTTATAATACCAATGCCTGCTTCTAGGATACTTCCTGGAGGGCCTTCCTGAGGCTGTTTTACAGTTAACTTAAAAAAAATTAGTAGTACACTCTAAGATAACAATAAAAAGTATAGTACAGTAAACACATAAATGGTAACAGTCATTTATTAGCATGTACTGTATACTGCACATTAATTGTATTGTGTTAGACTTTTATACTACTGGTAGTACAGTTCATTTCTTTGCACCAGAATCTCCACATACACATGAAAAATGTGTTGAGCTACAAAATCAAAAGGAAGTAGGGATTTTTCACCACCATGATAATCTTATAGGACTACCACTATATATGTGTCCTACCATTCACTGAAACATTATGTAGTATATGACTGTAAAGGTGGATATGTTCTCTTAAATACCTGGGAATAGAACTGCTGAGTCTTATGGCAATTCTAAGTTTAACATTTTGAGAAATGGCCAAACTGTTTTCTAAACAGTTACATCTTCTATATCTCTACCAACAATGCAAGGTTTCCAGTTTTTTAAAAACCTTGTCAACATTATTACTGTCCACCTTTTTCATTGCCTCATGGGTGGTATCTGTGGTCTTGATTTACATTTCCCTGATGACTAATTATGTTAAGTATCTTTTCATGTGACCATTTGTCTGTCTTTTTGGGTAAATGTATATTTAAATTATTTGTTCATTTTTTAATTGGGTTATCTTTTTTATTGATGCATTGTAAGTGTTCTTTATATTTTCTGGATATGAGTCCCTCATCAGATATATGATGTACAAATATTTTCTCCCATTTTGTTGTTGTCTTTTAACTTCCTTGATAGTAAACTCTGAAGTATGACAGTTTTTAATTTATCGACTCTTCTACTGCTTGGGCATATCTTAAAAAAAAAAAATTCCCTAATCCAAGTTTCTGAGATCATAAAGATTTACACCTGTATTTTCTTCTAAGAGTTTTATATATTTAGCTCTTACATTTAGGTCTTTGATTCATTTTGGGTTAATTTTTGTACATGGTATGAAGTAGATGTTCACATTCACTCTTTGGATGTGGCTATCCTGATATCCTAGCACCATTATTTTTTAAAAAGTTATTCTTTTCCCATTGAATTACCTTGGTATTCTTGTCAAAAATCAATTGGCCATAGATGTATAAATTTACTTCTGGAATCTCAATCATATTCTACCGATGCACATGCTATCCTTATGCCAGTAACACACTGCCTTGACTACTGCAGCTTTGTAGTTAGTGTG